CTGTGCCGAAACCGATAAACAGGTAGGCCTGAAAAAGAAGGCCTTAAAAAAGAGAGCATCCTGTGAGATGGGACAGGATCGAGCGGGCAAGTGGCGGGGCGAAAAAAAAAGGAGAAGCGCAGCCACCTCTTCAGTTGCTGGGGAGAAAGTCTGAAGGGTAGGAAAGGCATGATCTACGTGTGGTTGAGAAAGAGAATGGCAAGGTAGGGAGAATTCTTTCCTTAGCTGTTCAATCTTGTCGGTAAAGTAGTCGGTTAGTTTGGGGGTGCACTGTATGAACACAATATGAATCTATAATGGAGAAAGTCTGACTGGGTGCGAGACTTCCTCCAGAAATGTTCAGCACAACTGGAGCATCTTTGCAGGTAGCGTGTTGATTTAGTATGCCACGGTTGGGGGCGTGTCCTCCTAGACGTGCATTTTTGGCGCGGGGCTACAGTGTTCAAGGCAGAGGTGAGGGTAGTGTTATTTGTGGAGATGGCCAGTGAGGGACAGGAGAGGGAAGTGATGGATAGCAGTTATGACTCAATATCAGCTGATAGCTGCTGGAGGTCAATAGAATTAAGGTTCCTCCTGAGTTGAGGGGGGTTAGGCTGAGGTTGTTGGGTGAGGGGATACTTGAGAGCAAACGATAAGAGGTGGTGACCAGAGAGAGGAAATGGAGTGTTGCAGATATTAGATACTGTACATGCATAAGAGAAAATGAGGTTAAGGGTATTGCCAGCTACATGGGTGGGAGAATTAGCCCACTGTGATAGCCCGAGGGAGGAAGTAATTAAAAGTAGTTTAGAGGCTGATGAGGTCAAAGGTGAGTTAATGGGAATATTGAAGTCTCCAAGAATTAGCGATGGAATATTAGAGCGGAAGTAGGGTAGCCAGGCAGCAAAGTGGTCAAGGAAGAGGAGAGAGGAACCAGGGGGGCGATAAATAACAGCAATGTTAGCAGAGAAGGGTTTGAAAAGGTGAAGGGGTAAAGGTTTGAAGGAGCAGTTAGGTGAGAGGAGAAATCCTACACCACCACCTTTACATTCACAGTATCTTGGGTTGTGGGTAAGTTGAAGACCACCAAAGGACAAAGATGCAGGGGTTGTAGTGTCAGAGGGGGAGAGACATTTTTCTGTTAAGGCTAGTAAATCTAGGGAACGAGAGATGAAGAGGTTGTGGACAGCAGTGGATTTTGTAATATTGCAAAGAGAGCATGCATTCCAGAGGGCAGTATTGAAGGAGGATTTAGAGGAAGAGTAACATGAGATGGGTATGAGATTGGTGTTGTTCCTTGAGTTAGTACGTGATGGGTTTGCCGAGATGGGACCAGGGTTTGGAGAGACATCACCAGCAGCTAGGAGCAGATGGTTAGAAAGGAAGTGAAGGTGGGAGTAGGATTTGAAAGTTTTGTAGGAGGGAATGTATACAGAGGATTTGGGAGGAGTTGGAAGAGATAGGCTGGAAAGGTATATGTGGAGTGCATTGGATGAATAAAGAGGGGAAGGGAGTAAAGTGGAAGTAATGAAGATGGTGTTGCCAGGGACAGGTGAGCAGAAGGATAGAGATATTTTAGTAATGAGAGAAGTTAGTGTGAAAGTGAAAAATATTTTAACAAGCTGGAGTGTAATTTAAATGTCTCTGTCCTTACACAAAGGTGTGTTTGTGTATCTCCGTTGTCTATAATAAGTATTTCTGTATGTGAGTGTATTTGAATGTATATCTGTATCAGTATACATTTTCTCTCTTGCATGTGTCTGTCTATCTGTTTTATTATTGTGCAATATTGTGGCTGTATGCTAACTCAAACACAGAGTCCAAGTGGAAATGCATGTTTTTTCTGTATTTGTGTCACTATCTCTGTCACAAACTCACCCTACTTCAATAGTGTGCGTGACATAGCTGTGGTGGTGAAAGGGTTAAAGTTCACTATTTGTCTGCACTAGACCAGAAATAATGATAAAACTTCCCTTAACACTTAAGCATAATAATATAAATATTACTATTTTAATGCTGCCACCACCAAGACAATAAAAACCCACCAAATGTAACTTAGCACAATATCTATGTAATTGCAAATTACTAATTGGTCTCTTCAGGTAACATGATTCTTTACCAGACAAAGGCAGAACTTAATAAAGAAATATTTATTATGAGCAAAAAAATAGCCACAGTGCATAGAAAAATATAGATGACAATAAAATTACAATCAAATGATTTACACCAACAGATAAAAACAAAAGGGATGAAATGACAGAAGTCCTAATCACTTACTCAGCTTTTCAAAGTAAAACTTCTGCCCCAGCTCATCTTTCTCTGGTAAGAAATATGGTGACTCACTTAGAATTAGATTCTGGCCCCTCAAGCAAGTACAATGACATTTCAGTATCATTGGATATATACCCTATTGATTACCACGCCTGGCCTAGAGGTGGAGTTAAGGCGTATCTATAGAGACAATAAGTGACCACCTCCTTGTGTTCCAGACCAACATCAATCCAAATGGAAACATTTGGTTCTATCTTCTCTTATTTACTTGCCACAGAAATAATAATTGCATCTACGAATTTATTATGTTTCCATTCCATAGATATGTCACACTCCTTACATGTGATCGAATATAGCAGACATCACAATTTCTTCCCCTAGGCTTAAGATATGCCAGTCATGTTTGGGCTTGTTTAGAAGATAGCGCTTGTCACATTCCAAATATAATGAGGCTCAATTATTATTCTGTGGGTAAATATTAATGTTTCTCTAATTTAGATATGATACTGGATCACAAGGTTTGTTTTTCTCTTTTCTTGAAAGCTAATGATCCTTAACATATCAAAGACATTCACTCATCAGTTAAAAGGTAGATGCCATATGTCTAAAGTTCGCTAGTTTACATTGGCGCTAAACTTCCAGGCCACCTATGTGTAACTTACAGAGCTTTTGGTTAATCAAAGAATCAATGCAGATGGTAAACCATCTGCTCCCTTTTACATTCCTATGCAATTCACACTACCCCTTTTGTCATCTGGTATTTACCAAGTGGTCAATTCATATATGCACTACACAAATTACATTAATATTCTATTGTGCAACAATGAATTATGCACCCTTGGCGTGACTATCTCTGTGTATATTTGACTGCCTCTGTCCTTGTATAAACATCTGTTTACCTCTGTATATATTACTCTGATCATGAATGTGTCTGTATGCTTGTCCATGTGCATATGCGGGTTTCTGTCTGTGAATGCATACACAACACAACAATCCACCATAGAATCCTTGCATTCTTGGATCACTCATTCTTAGAACATGACACAAATAAGGCTAAATAAGCTCATTCCCAAGTTACATTTACCAACGTATTGGTACTAGTGTGGTATTGGTGTGTAAAAATGTGAATGTATATTATTTTTTTAACTATCCTGCAACACTTGTCCATTGGCTCTAACTAGCTTACTTTAAAGGCTATCTTTTACTGAGCAGACGAAAAGTCTCGAAGGGACTGACTGAATCACCTGTATTTAAGAAAAGATATACTTTTTAGACTTAACTGATAACTGACCTGGGATTGGGAGTTCTGACATTCATGATGAGTTACTCTTTGCATTTACAGCTGGGCGAGGTATACTGTATAACAGCTGGAGTGCTTAAGGTTGTTTAAGGTTGCTTATTCCTGGTTCCTTGGATACCACCCCCTGGTGTGCTATGAAAAACATATGCTCTCCAATATGTCAGAGGTAGGCAATCCACATCCCTACAGATGTTGATGAAACACTGTAAAACAAAATTGTTTGGTGGATACAGTTTAAGGTGAGTATTATGTAACTGAAAATCACCCCAGGTGAAACACACCAAAATGTTGGCGCATACAAGTAAATTATGTACATAGTAATCCAAACAGGATCTGTAACAGTAGTGTGTTTAATCTTCTCAATCTTTAATTATATCAGAAAATATAAAGTAAAAATGCGTAGTTTAAAACCGTTATAAGAATGATCAGTGTAATAAAATATAACGTGTTTGCCAATAGACAGATAGTCCTGTGGACCCACTCTTGCAATGACTGTGTCTGGAGTCCTTCCGCAAAGTTAGCTGCAAGTCCGTGTACTAAGGAAAGTGTAAAGTCATGCAGGTCGCGCATATGCCAAAAGATTGTAAAAATCTTTCACAATCAGGCATAATTATTATTTATGAAGCAGTCTTCATGATGGACAAGAATGTATATAAAGGGAAACAACCTGATACAAATATCCTACTCGAAATGCGAGAAAAATAAATATAAAATGATGAAAATAATGTATTAAAAATAGTAATAAAAATAAAAACTAATATAAAAATGTGTAGGCAAATATAAAACTGAATATATATAACATGTTTAGCAACATATATATATAAGTTGAGTTTCAAAGCTGTTGTATACAGCAAACACAGACTCAAAGGAATCCATGTTTAAAATGGAATGAGGCAAAAATGTGATTCTTTGTTAAACTAATTTGCATATGTCCACCCAGAATCCTTTGCGGTAGTAACATCACTGAGGATTTGT